AGGAGTTTACCCATATATTCAACTTTGCCTATATAACAGTTTACCTGACTAAAGGAGTTTACCCATATATTCAACTTTGCCTATATAACAGTTTACCTGACTAAAGGAGTTTACCCATATATTCAACTTTGCCTATATAACAGTTTACCTGACTAAAGGAGTTTACCCATATATTCGACTTTGCCTATATAACAGTTTACCTGACTAAAGGAGTTTACCCATATATTCGACTTTGCCTATATAACAGTTTACCTGACTGAATGGAGTTTACCCATATATTCGACTTTGCCTATATAACAGTTTACCTGACTGAATGAGTTTACCCATATCTAATACTGAGAGAAACAAATAAAGGATCACAGGAATATTCAAGTGTTCCTTTAATATTTTCCAGTTTTCATCACCAGTTTCGAATAGCACTGTGGTGATGAAAACTGGAAAATACAAAAGGAACGCTTGAATATTCCTGTGATCCTTTATTTGTTTCTCTCGGTATATTTGACTTTAGCTGTATTATAGGGCTGTAACGATGCATCAAACTATCGATGGATTGCAATTGTTGAGTCTCCGAAAGCAATTAATCGATGATAGAAATGAAAAACTATCGATGCATCGATAGTATGTGTGACTATTGATAGTTTAGTAATTGACTTCCGTTGATAAATGTGCAGCACAAAATACAGGATGTTTGGGTGCAGACTTGCAGCTCCATTGAATTTATGTTCTAACTGTTTACTTGATCTGGGTTGTAAGTTTCTTGTATTAAAAGAGACTGAAACTACTTCAACTTGATATATATCATATAAACTATACATTCATTTGGGAAATGACTTCAAATGAGACATAGCACGGAGAGAAAAAACTATTGCAATAGTATTGCAATAGTTGGTCACAATAGACTATCGCTATCACAATAGTATGTTGCAATAGACTATCGCTATCGCAATAGTTGTTTCCTACTCAATAGTCACCCCTACTGTATCACAATTTACCTGACTGAAGGAGTTTACCTGTATAACAGTTTATACGACTGAAGGAGTTTACCTGTATAACAGTTTATACGACTGAAGGAGTTTACCTGTGTAACAGTTTATACGACTGAAGGAGTCTACCTGTGTAACAGTTTATTACGGCTAAAGGAGTCTACCTGTGTAACAGTTTATACGACTGAAGGAGTCTACCTGTGTAACAGTTTAAACGGCTGAAGGAGTTTACCTATATAACAGTTTATAGGACTGAAGGAGTTTACCTGTCTAACAGTTTATAGGACTGAAGGAGTTTACCTGTATAACAGTTTATATGACTGAAGGAGTCTACCTGTGTAACAGTTTATACGACTGAAGGAGTTTACCTGTGTAACAGTTTATACGACTGAAGGAGTTTACCTGTATAACAGTTTATAACAGTTTATAACGACTGAAGGAGTTTACCTGTATAACAGTTTATAACGACTGAAGGAGTTTACTGTATAACAGATGACTGAAGGAGTTTACCTGTATGTATAACAGTTTATAACAGTTTATATGACTGAAGGAGTTTACCTGTATAACAGTTTATACGACTGAAGGAGTTTACCTGTATAACAGTTTATACTGACTGAAGGAGTTTACCTGTATAACAGTTTATACGACTGAAGGAGTTTACCTGTGTAACAGTTTATACGACTGAAGGAGTTTACCTGTGTAACAGTTTATATGACTGAAGGAGTTTACCTGTATAACAGTTTATACTGACTGAAGGAGTTTACCTGTATAACAGTTTATATGACTGAAGGAGTTTACATGTATAACAGTTTATATATACGACTGAAGGAGATTTACCTGTATAACAGTTTATACGACTGAAGGAGTTTACCTGTATAACAGTTTATACACGACTGAAGGAGTTTACCTGTATAACAGTTTATACGACTGAAGGAGTTTACCTGTATAACATATAACAGTTTATAACGACTGAAGGAGTTTACCTGTATAACAGTTTATACGACTGAAGGAGTTTACCTGTATAACAGTTTATACGACTGAAGGAGTTTACCTGTATAACAGTTTATAATGACTGAAGGAGTTTACCTGTTTATAACAGTTTATACGACTAACAGCTTTATACGACTGAAGGAGTTTACCTGTGTAACAGTTTTATACGACTGAAGGAGTTTACCTGTATAACAGTTTATAACGACTGAAGGAGTTTACTTGTGTAACAGTTTATAACAGTTTATAACATATACGACTGAAGGAGTTTACCTGTGTAACAGTTTATACGACTGAAGGAGTTTACCTGTATAACAGTTTATACGACTGAAGGAGTTTACCTGTATAACAGTTTATACGACTGAAGGAGTTTACCTGTATAACAGTTTATACGACTGAAGGAGTTTACCTGTATAACAGTTTATACGACTGAAGGAGTTTACCTATATAACAGTTTATATGACTGAAGGAGTTTACCTGTATAACAGTTTATAACGACTGAAGGAGTTTACCTGTATAACAGTTTATACGACTGAAGGAGTTTACCTGTGTAACAGTTTATACGACTGAAGGAGTTTACCTGTATAACAGTTTATATGACTGAAGGAGTTTACATGTATAACAGTTTATATGACTGAAGGAGTTTACATGTATAACAGTTTATACGACTGAAGGAGTTTACCTGTATAACGGTTTATACGACTGAAGGAGTTTACCTGTATAACAGTTTATAACGACTGAAGGAGTTTACCTGTATAACAGTTTATACGACTGAAGGAGTTTAATGGAGTTTATACGACTGAAGAGTTTACCTGTGTAACAGTTTATGCGACTGAAGGAGTTTACCTGTATAGAATGTAATGGTGTATTGGAGTTTACCTGCTCATCAACCAGTATTTTCCATTAAACACAAAATCATGTGACATAGTTGGGTTTCTTCAGTGATAGTCATTTATCTTACCTAAAATAGCACTTTGTATCAAGAAATCTTCATCCTTATGATGTAATTATATGAGTGTTGACATAGCCTTGCAGTGGGGAATTAAGATGAGATGATTCAATGTCAAAACAGTGATATAATGTGTGTACAAATGTTTAATGCACCATGGTCATGGCTGACTGACTATACCTATGTACAAGGGTTAACCTGTCGATAAGTGATTACATGTACACTGCAGCTGGAGTTTACCTGTCTATCAAAGTTTTCCTGTATATAGGACTTAACTTGTGCATTAGAATTTATCTGTATATTGGAGTTTACCTGGGTTTTTGTAGTGTTCATGTTTATCGTTTACCTGTATATACCTGTATATAGGAGTTTACCTGTAAAGGTACAAATGATGACAGTGATTTTTCACACTCACTCATGCCCTCACTCAAGTCGTTCACGCTCTCAGCCACTCACTCACTCACACACTCACTCAAATGCCGACGTACTTAAGACACTGCAAGGTAACCATCTACCTTGCCTTCATGCCTCACAAATAATCCTCATTAAGAGACCTAATCCTAGAGTGGCAGATAGGATTAGCTACAATTCCTGCTTGCCAAGTGAGATCGGTCAGCCACAAAGGTTATACATTCATTTGGCCCTGTCTATAACCCACCATATATCACTAGGATTGGCAGCCATGAACATGAGTTACGAGGCGTTCAATACTGCAGCTGATTATCATATTTGTTATGATCTGAATGCCCTGACAGGCAGCGTTTACAACCCAGGTCTGTCAGACTTAGCATGGTGTAGACTTGCAGGAGGGAGACATGTTGGCTTCTTTATTCACTTATAATCATGGTTGATTCACTGCCAGATGAGAAGTTATAGCTGTGGGATGAGGTGAAGGCAACAATAGCAGCAGCAAACATGCAGCTGTCCATTCCACTGGCTTGTTGGAGCTACCCTGTGGGCAAGGTGTTGGGCTGTAGTGGGATCTCTTTCTCATCTGTCACAGTAGATCAGGTTCTTATGGTTGAACTTACAGGACACTGTGACAGTGACTGAAGAAGCTTCATGTCCTACAACATCACCGTTGGTGAAAAGTGTCAATAACAGGGACATTTCTTGTACACTTATGGTGCAGAGTAATAATGAGATCAGTCTGTGACCTCGAGGTGTAGGATTAACTGGATTATATGAATAACTAAACAATAACACCTGGATATATTTTACACAACTAAGACATGATGAACACCTGTTGGATGTGTAAACATCTTATAAAGGAACGACAGCGTCATCGGCGACAGTTACTCCACCATGTAGTGTAAGTGTATGGCAGAGATGGAGAGGCCATTATGTGTTCGTGCATACATGCATGAGAAAATCTCATCTCGACAAGCATCAAAGAGCAAACATGCACTGGTATAATTATACACTGCAATGGTACCTTGACATGTGCAACAGGTGACTTAGGACATCACGATCGCAAGAGGTTAAAGGAGGTTTTAGCTTTTTGTAAAATCATTTCATGAAGTCAAGATTTTACTATTTCTTGAAGCATTATTATGCCACCTTTTATAAGTTTACAAGTAGGCCTACATCCAAGATGTTTCTTGTGATATGAAAGCCATGACTAGACATGGAACCAGCTTCTGTTGTGTTCAAGATATTGATGTCCTCTGTTATCATTGTCCTTGCTATGGACTACAAGCTGCAGCTCAGCCCCAGTCAGGTGGTATCAATCTACACCACTTTCTGTCAACACAAGGAAGGATATGAGTCACTGTTTGTTTGGGTGTTTTGTTGTTTAACGCCACACTAAGCAATATTCCAGCTATGGCGGGGATCTGTAAATAATCAAGCCTGGACCAGACAATCCAGTGATCAACATCATGAGCATTGATCTGCACCAACTGGGATACTGATGTTGGTTGGTTGGTCAACCTTTTACGCCATCATGCAATGTCCATGAAGATGGAAGAAGGCTGACAGTATGAGAACAGGCTGCCATGGCATGAGCCTTATCATATTCAGTACTGTTCCTGTTTATACCAGTCCGCCCTTGCTGACCACAGATATGTTTGTATGTGCAGGTCGACACCAGCCTCGTCCCGGGCACACAGCAGTGGTGGTGGACGGATGAACAGGCCCAAGACTGCTGCCGCCGTCTTGTCTCGGACAGAGTGAGTACAATGTAGGGTCAGGGAGTCAAGCAGGTCATGTAGATAATATCATGCATCAGGGAAAACTTCAGTTTAACTAGTCACAAAACTGTTCAAGCTGTGACTGTGAGATGTTGGTGGGTCAGTCCCACCCTATCACCACACCCCCACCCCCACCTCTGACCACATGTATTGTTGTCCCCAGTTGTGACTATAAGATGTTGGTGGGTCAGTCCCACCTTCATCACCACCCCCACCCCCACCTCTGACCACATGTATTGTTGTCCCCAGTTGTGACTATAAGATGTTGGTGGGTCAGTCCCACCCTCATCACCACCCCCACCCCCACCTCTGACCACATGTATTGATATCCCTAGCTGTGACTGTAAGATGTTGGTGGGTCAGTCCCACCCTCATCACCACCCCCCACCCCCACCTCTGACCACATGTATTGTTGTCCCCAGTTGTGACTATAAGATGCTGGTGGGTCAGTCCCACCCACCATCACCACCCCCACCCCCACCTCTGACCACATGTATTGTTGTTGTCCGTAGCTGTGACTGTAAGATGTTGATGGGTCAGTCCCACCCTCATCACCACCCCCACCCCCACCTCTGACCACATGTATTGTTGTCCCCAGTTGTGACTATAAGATGCTGGTGGGTCAGTCCCACCCTATCACCACCACCACCCCCACCTCTGACCACATCTATTGTTGTCCGCAGCTGTGACTGTAAGATGTTGGTGGGTCAGTCCCACCCTCATCACCACCCCCCACCCCCCACCTCTGACCACATGTATTGTTGTCCCCAGCTGTGACTGTAAGATGTTGGTGGGTCAGTCCCACCTTCATCACCATCACCACCCCCACCTCTGACCACATGTATTGATGTCCCCAGCTGTGACTGTAAGATGTTGGTGGGTCAGTCCCACCTTCATCACCATCCCCACCCCCACCTCTGACCACATGTATTGATGTCCCCAGCTGTGACTGTAAGATGTTGGTGGGTCAGTCCCACCTTCATCACCACCCCCCCCACCACCCCCACCTCTGACCACATGTATTGTTGTCCCCAGTTGTGACTATAAGATGTTGGTGGGTCAGTCCCACCCTATCACCACCCTCACCCCCACCTCTGACCACATCTATTGTTGTCCCCAGCTGTGACTATAAGATGTTGGTGGGTCAGTCCCACCCTCATCACCACCCCCACCCCCACCTCTGACCACATGTATTGTTGTCCCCAGCTGTGACTGTAAGATGCTGGTGGGTCAGTCCCACCCTATCACCACCCCCACCCCCACCCCACCTCTGACCACATGTATTGTTGTCCCCAGCTGTGACTATAAGATGTTGGTGGGTCAGTCCCACCCCTCCACCCTCATCACCACCCCCACCCCCCCCCACCTCTGACCACATGTATTGTTGTCCCCAGTTGTGACTATAAGATGCTGGTGGGTCAGTCCCACCCTCATCACCACCCCCCACCCCCCACCTCTGACCACATGTATTGTTGTCCCCAGCTGTGACTGTAAGATGTTGGTGGGTCAGTCCCACCCCTATCACCACCCCCACCCCCACCTCTGACCACATGTATTGTTGTCCCCAGTTGTGACTATAAGATGTTGGTGGGTCAGTCCCACCCCCTCATCACCACCTCCCCCCCACCATCACCCCCACCTCTGACCACATCTATTGTTGTCCCCAGCTGTGACTGTAAGATGTTGGTGGGTCAGTCCCACCCTATCACCACCCTCACCCCCACCTCTGACCACATCTATTGTTGTCCCAGCTGTGACTGTAAGATGTTGGTGGGTCAGTCCCACCCTCATCACCACCCCCCCCCCCCCCACCTCTGACCACATGTATTGATGTCCCCAGCTGTGACTGTAAGATGTTGGTGGGTCAGTCCCACCTTCATCACCATCACCACCCCCACCTCTGACCACATGTATTGATGTCCCCAGCTGTGACTGTAAGATGTTGGTGGGTCAGTCCCACCCTCATCACCGCCCCCACCCCCACCTCTGACCACATGTATTGTTGTCCCCAGTTGTGACTATAAGATGCTGGTGGGTCAGTCCCACCCTCATCACCGACCCCGTCACCCACCTCTGACCACATCTATTGTTGTCTGCAGCTGTGACCGGGTGCTGCAGGTGGAGCAGGAGCCAACGCGGCGACACAACTTTGAGAACCATCTTCCCACCAAACGTAGCAAGCCTCCACCATGGCAGAAAAACATGGAGGTGAGAACACAGTCATCAGACTGGCTGTGGTCAGTGTTTATATGGATATCCTGGCTACCTTCAGGACTCGTTGCCTTGTGATGATTACCCTCATCAATTACTAGGGATTCACCACAGTATTTGGTGATGATTGACCACACAACTGAGTGACTAACACTGTGGCACTAACACTTTGGCACTGACTGACCTCATGTCTTTGTGGTGACTGACCACAAGATTTGTTTTGTCTTCAAATGGATTGATTTACATTAAAAGCATGTTACTTCTTTAAAACAATGAGATTTGCCAGCTCCTTGTTTATCTGTGTAGTATCTGTTGATCAACAAGCCTCCTTGGGTACTGATGTATTGTGCTGATGCCTCGCTGTGTATCTCCAGGCTCCCCTGGTGCCGTTTGTCGTGGGGCCAGGCTACATTCTGTCACGCAGCAAAAGCAAGTTTGCCGTCACACTCAAAGACGAGTTCTTCACCCCACCTCAAGATGAAAATCAAAAGTAGGTGTTCCTACCTTGCCATTGTTTTTATAATTATCAAACAGCAAAGAAAAGTTGTTGTTTTTGTTAATGCTTTGAAATGCTGTGCTCTGGAGAGACAAAGTGTGTCATGTCTGAAATGAAGTGTTTTGTGTTTTCAGAAAAAGGCAAGGGGATAATGAAAGGTCAGTAGATTTATAAGTCAATTCTAAATATATTACAGCATGTTTTGAAACTGTTCAGTGAAACAGATCAGCATTTGTTCTTAAACACATTCACCCCTCACCATCTCTACCACTTAATCCATGAAGATCCGGGTTAGAATATTGATCTTCAGTGCTTGTCATAAGAGGCGACTAACAGGATCGGGTGGTCAGGCTCGCTGACTTGGTTGACACATGTCATCGGTTCCCAATTGCGGAGATCGATGCTCATGCTGTTGATCACTGGATTGTCTGGTTACAGACCGCTGCCATATAACTTGAATATTGCTGAGTGCTGCATAAAATTAAACTCACTCACTCTCTACCACTGACCCATTCATCCCTACCAACTCATCCTCTGATGCCCAAACTCTCTGATTCTCTCACCCTCTCTACCACTGACCCATTCATCCCTACCAACTCATCCTCTGATGCCCAAACTCTCTGATTCTCTCACCCTCTCTACCACTGACCCATTCATCCCTACCATCTCATCCTCTGATGCCCAAACTCTCTGATTCTCTCATCATCTCTACCACTGACCCATTCACCTCCCGCTATCTCATCCTCTGATGGCCAGACTCTCTGATTGTCTCACCCTCTCTACCATTCAAACATTCACCTCCCACCATCTCATCCTCTGATGCCCAAACTCTCTGACTGCCTCATCCTCTCTACCACTCACCCTTTCATCCCTACCATCTCATCCTCTGATGCCCAAACTGTTCCAGGGACACCCTGATAGCCCAGCTCCACCAGCAGATATCGGACCTGACTCTGTACCTGGACCACTGACTCAGAGATCTCAACCACTGATGCCCAAACTCTCTGAGGGTCACCCTCTCTACCACTGACCCATTCATCCCTCACTCATCCTCTGATGACCAAACTCTGATTCTCTCTCCCACATGCTCTACCACTGACCCATTCACACACAAAGCAGACCAAACTCTCTGAATCTCTCACAGGCTCTACCACTTCTCATTCTCTCCATCTCTCCTCTATTCTCCCACATGCTGCACCACTCACACACACAAAGCAGACCAAACACAGGGTAATCTCCCACATGCTGCACCACTCACACACACAAAGCAGACCAAACACAGGGTAATCTTCCACATGCTGCACCACTCACACACACAAAGCAGACCAAACACAGGGTAATCTCCCACATGCTGCACCACTCACACACACAAAGCAGACCAAACACAGGGTAATCTCCCACATGCTGCACCACTCACACACACAAAGCAGACCAAACACAGGGTAATCTCCCACATGCTGCACCACTCACACACACAAAGCAGACCAAACACAGGGTAATCTCCCACATGCTGCACCACTCACACACACAAAGCAGACCAAACACAGGGTAATCTCCCACATGCTGCACCACTCACACACACAAAGCAGACCAAACACAGGGTAATCTCCCACATGCTGCACCACTCACACACACAAAGCAGACCAAACACAGGGTAATCTCCCACATGCTGCACCACTCACACACACAAAGCAGACCAAACACAGGGTAATCTCCCACATGCTGCACCACTCACACACACAAAGCAGACCAAACATAGGGTAATCTCCCACATGCTGCACCACTCATACACACAAAGCAGACCAAACACAGGGTAATCTCCCACATGCTGCACTACTCACACACACAAAGCAGACCAAACACAGGGTAATCTCCCACATGCTGCACCACTCACACACACAAAGCAGACCAAACACAGGGTAATCTCCCACATGCTGCACCATGCAGTCCTACATGTGTTCATTGTATGCTAATCCAGAAGTGTTTGGGTGTGAGCATCTCAGTTTCGGGAAGGACACTAAACATTTGTCCATTTAAAAGTTTAATGGGTAAACGGGTAGACTAAGGAAGAATGTATTACAACATGGCTTGCTGAAAAGATCGGAAATATTGTTGATTGGAAGAATTATTAATGATTATAGATATGAAAATTGTGTCACCAATGATATCATACATAAACTATTACAATGAAATAAACTTTTGATTTACTCACACAATACACAAAGGCATGCATTTATTTATGGGCAACTCATGCCATTTTATTAGTAGTCTATGCATAAATACGTAACCACTCCACAGTGATGTGAAATATGTTGATTTCTTGATTTTTGTCATTATTTATACCAAAGTTACTTCTCTGATATTTTTTGACTAAACTGATTAATATTTAGTGTATGATTATCAGTCTCCATGATCTGTATGGATAGCCAACCTAACTGGTGACATGTCTTCAACATAAACATCACTGATACCTAACATGAAATGCTTCTTGAATGATTTACTTCCATGTATGAGTTGAATGATTTACTTTCATGTATGACTTGAATGATTTACTTTCATGTATGACTTGAATGATTTACTTTCATGTATGACTTGAATGATTTACTTTCATGTGTGACTTGAATGATTTACTTTCATGTATGAGTTGAATGATTTACTTTCATGTATGACTTGAATGATTTACTTTCATGTATGAGTTGAATGATTTACTTTCATGTATGACTTGAATGATTTACTTTCATGTATGAGTTGAATGATTTACTTTCATGTATGACTTGAATGATTTACTTTCATGTATGACTTGAATGATTTACTTTCATGTATGAGTTGAATGATTTACTTTCATGTATGACTTGAATGATTTACTTTCATGTATGACTTGAATGATTTACTTTCATGTATGACTTGAATGATTTACTTTCATGTATGACTTGAATGATTTACTTTCATGACTTGAATGACTTTCATGAATGACTTGAATGATTTACTTTCATGTATGACTTGAATGATTTACTTTCATGTATGACTTGAATGATTTACTTTCATGTATGACTTGAATGATTTACTTTCATGTATGACTTGTATGACTTGACTGATTTACTTTCATGTATGACTTGAATGATTTACTTTCATGTATGACTTGAATGATTTACTTTCATGTGTGACTTGATGATTTACTTTCATGTATGACTTTGATTTACTTTCATGTATGATTTGATTTTCTTTCATGTATGACTTGAATGATTTACTTTCATGTATGACTTGAATGATTTACTTTCATGTATGACTTGAATGATTTACTTTCATGTATGACTTGACTGATTTACTTTCATGTATGACTTGACTGATTTACTTTCATGTATGACTTGAATGATTTACTTTCATGTATGACTTGAATGATTTACTTTCATGTATGACTTGAATGATTTACTTTCATGTATGACTTGAATGATTTACTTTCATGTATGACTTGAATGATTTACTTTCATGTGTGACTTGAATGATTTACTTTCATGTATGACTTGAATGATTTACTTTCATGTATGACTTGAATGATTTACTTTCATGTATGACTTGAATGATTTACTTTCATGTATGACTTGAATGATTTACTTTCATGTATGACTTGAATGATTTACTTTCATGTATGACTTGAATGATTTACTTTCATGTATGACTTGAATGATTTACTTTCATGTATGACTTGAATGATTTACTTTCATGTATGACTTGAATGATTTACTTTCATGTATGACTTGAATGATTTACTTTCATGTATGACTTGAATGATTTACTATCATGTGTATGACTTGAATGATTTACTTTCATGTATGACTTGAATGATTTACTTTCATGTATGACTTGACTGATTTACTTTCATGTATGACTTGACTGATTTACTTTCATGTATGACTTGACTGATTTACTTTCATGTATGACTTGACTGATTTACTTTCATGTATGACTTGACTGATTTACTTTCATGTATGACTTGACTGATTTACTTTCATGTATGACTTGACTGATTTACTTTCATGTATGACTTGAATGATTTACTTTCATGTATGACTTGACTGATTTACTTTCTATGATTTACTTTCATGTATGACTTGAATGATTTACTTTCATGTATGACTTGAATGATTTACTTTCATGTATGACTTGAATGATTTACTTTCATGTATGAATTGAATGATTTACTTTCATGTATGACTTGAATGATTTACTTTCATGTATGACTTGAATGATTTACTTTCATGTATGACTTGAATGATTTACTTTCATGTATGACTTGAATGATTTACTTTCATGTATGACTTGAATGATTTACTTTCATGTATGACTTGAATGATTTACTTTCATGTATGACTTGAATGATTTACTTTCATGTATGACTTGACTGATTTACTATCATGTATGACTTGAATGAATGATTTACTTTCATGTATGACTTGAATGATTTACTTTCATGTATGAATTGAATGATTTACTTTCATGTATGACTTGAATGATTTACTTTCATGTATGACTTGAATGAGTTACTTTCATGTATGACTTGAATGATTTACTTTCATGTATGACTTGAATGATTTACTTTCATGTATGACTTGAATGTTAGTGAATTGCACCACTGTTTTTCAATGTTATATGTGTGTTTGGTGACCCATGACAGTGTGTGATCTCAGACATTTTCTTACCTGTGACAGTGTGTGACCTGTGACTATGTGACCTGTGACAGTGTGTGAGCTGAGACAGTGTTTGACCTGTAGCATTTGTGTGAGCTGAGGCAGTGTGTGACCTGTGACATTGTGTGAACTATGACAGTGTTTGACCTGTGGCATTTGTGTGAGCTGAGGCAGTGTGTGACCTGTGACATTGTGTGAGCTGTGACAGTGTTTGACCTGTGGCAGTGTGTGACACATGACTATGTGACCTGTAGCAGTGTGTGAGCTGAGAAGCTGAGGCAAGCCTTTGACCTGTGACAGTGTTTGACCTCTGACCGTGTGTGATCTGTAACCATGTGTTGCAGGCTGAGGAGTTCATGCGTGACAAGATGGATGAGCTGCACAATCAACACCAGGACTATGTCAGGTACACATGTACTGCCAACCCAACACTGTTTATTGAGTTTATTGTTGTTTAATCTGGGATACAGTGGCTTGAGATACTGATGATTTTCATGTACCCAATTGCCTTGTAAACCTTACTAAACCAGACTGCACCCAAGATTCTTGACTGCAATCATGGGACGGAGGATCAGTTATCATATATTCGACTCTCCCCAAATACAGAATAACTGTTTGCTCATATCATCTGCATGTCTGGAAAGCTTTTCTCATTTAAATGTGCTTTGTATTAGGCATTTCCTGTATTTGGAGACTTGATGGAAATGGGATCATTATTATTACACTATTATTCAGTTTGTGTTACCAGTTCTTTGTAAAGTTAATGGTAAATACACATGTTTCAGGGACTTGGAGGAACAGAACCAGGCCCAGATGGAGCACCAGAAACAGCAGCTGGAGGCTGAGGCTGGGCAGTTCCGGGAGGCAGCAGAGTCTCAGATCAGTATGTACACATCACCTCTGGATCAGACAGAATGGCCACGGCAGCATATCTACCATTATATTACACTTCCTTACTAGATAAGCTTATTTAATTTGCTGAAGCAGTACTTGATCTAAAGCCTTGTGTCACATACAGTAGTGGTCTGCTGTCTGGCATCGTGTTCTAGTGTATAACTTGGAGACACAGATATACTGGCTTTCTGGGCAGTGTCAGATGATGTACTGTTCTATTACAGCTCGCATGACAAAGGAGATAGAGTTCCTCCAAGGAGCATTTGAGTCTTACAAGAGTACACTACACCGAGAGACTTGACGACAAGTGGAGGATGAAGGAGGATGAGTTGAGGCACAAGTACGAGGAGGACAAGCAGACCATGATGCATGACATGAGTGAGTTGAGGGGGAGTTTGGTGTCAGGAGTGAGTTGAGGGGAGTTTGGTGTCAGGAGTGAGTTGAGGGGGAGTTTGGTGTCAGGAGTGAGTTGAGGGGAGTTTGGTGTCAGGAGTGAGTGTGGAGGGGAGTTTGGTGTCAGGAGGGTGAGTGTGAGGGAGTTTGGTGTCAGGAGTGAGTGTGAGGGGAGTTTGGTGTCAGGAGTGGAGTGAGGGGAGTGAGTTGAGGGGAGTTTGGTGTCAGGGGTGAGTTGAGGGGAGTTTGGTGTCAGGGGAGTGAGTTGAGAGGGGAGTTTGGTGTCAGGGAGTGAGTTGAGGGAGTTTGGTGTCTGGAGTGAGTTGAGGGGAGTTTGGTGTCAGGAGGAGTGTCAGTGAGCTGAGGGGGAGTTTGGGTTTGAGTGTCAGGAGTGAGTTGAGGGGAGTTTGGTGTCAGGGTGAGGTGTGAGGGGGAGTTTGGTGTCAGGAGAGTGGTGAGGGGGAGTTTGGTGTCAGGGAGTGAGTTGAGGGGAGTTTGGTGTCAGGGGTGAGGGGGAGTTTGGTGTCAGGGAGTGAGCTGAGGGGGAGTGGTTGGGTGTGAGGAGTTTGGTGAGTGAGGGAGTTTGGTGTGAGTTGAGGAGAGTTGTTGTGAGGGGAGTTTGGTGTGAGGAGAGTGCTGGAGGGGAGTTTGGTGTCAGGAGTGAGCTGAGGGGAGTTTGGTGTCAGGGAGAGAGAGTTGGAGGGGAGTTTGGTGTCAGGTGTGGGGTTTGGTGTGAGGGAGTTTGGTGTCAGGAGTGAGAGGAGAGGGAGTTTGGGTCAGGTCAGGAGAGTGTGTTGGGGAGTTTGGTGTCTGGGAGGAGCTGAGGGGGAGTGGTGTCAGGAGTGAGCTGGAGGGGAGTTTGGTGTCAGGAGGAGGAGGAGGGGAGTTTGGTGTCAGGAGAGTTGAGGAGTGAGTTTGGTGTCAGGGGAGTGTGGAGGAGTTTGGTGGGGGGAGTTTGGTGTCAGGAGTGAGTTTAGTGTCAGGAGAGTGTGTGGGGAGTTTAGTGTCAGGAGAGTGTGGAGGGGAGTGAGGAGAGTTTGGTGTCAGGGTGAGTCAGTGGGTCAGTAAATTGTTTTCAAGGTGAATCATTCATCTGTTGTTTAAGTATCACCTGACCCCAATGAACAAGCCATGGAAATACGGTTAAGAACATTTATGACAGAGATACTTTCTACTTTCCAGAAACAAAGATGATCCATGAGAAGAATGTTGATCGAGTGGCCATGATGAAGGATGCACACAAGCAAATTGAGGTGCTTAGGAAGGAGCACAAGAAGGAGTTGGATGTGAGTACACAAACTCGGACACAGAGCTGTCAGTTACTTTCTGGACCCTGGGGGAGCCACACTCAGTAATATTCCAGCTCTAGCACTGCTATAAGGTCAGGTCACATTGTCACACACAGCCAGGTCACATTGTCACACACAGCCAGGTCACACTGACCACTTGATCAGCATTAGTGTTTTACAAGTACAAGGTTCTGGTCACCCATTCAGCCTGGAGTCCCCATGTGAATCTAACTCAAGGAAGGTGACAGTTTATGTATAGTTAATGATATTGAATACACCTATTGAATGACTTGGAGTGGACATGGACTAATGAAGGGATCTTTGTTCAACAGGCCTGGTTGTATTGAAATATTCTATAAGCCAACATATCGGAGGTGGAGAGACAATATTACCAGATATGATGAGTCTTCATTATTGTCATATAGTCATGCAAACCACTGAACTCTTTTTATTAGAAAATATAAAGTTGGTTCTTGTGCACTTTAGACATGGTAATGTCTTTTTAAATTCTTTATTCCAAAAACTTATTCATTAGACCTGGAATAAAATTATTGTGTCATAAACTGTAGTTCCTGATAAGCTGTATGTTGGTGTAAAGTATGAAAGTCACCATAAAGTGACATATGCAGGGAGAAAAGTAAATACTGGCTTAACAACACTGTGTGTACAGTCTGTTTGACTAGAAAGTGTCCCCATGAACTGCTAAATATATCAGTTTAGAAAGGTAGTTGATACATAGAATAGACAGGTGCATCTGATGCACGGGCATTTTGTGATAACTGCTATGTGCTGATGACGAAATGAAGTTCACTGTACAGGCAAAAAAGTTGATAATTAAAGTGTATGATTTCATGCGCGCTGAGGCAGAACGGGGGAGCCCGTTTTATGCCATCGACAGGTATAAGAAAAGTGCTTCCAAGGCATTCTGAGTTTCTACATAGGCATTGACACATATAATGCAGCAGAGAGACAGTGTTGTCGACACACAACGCATGTAGGGGGCATGTCAAAAGCATCAAAGGTTAATAAATTAGACAATTTCCAGAATACCCAGGTCAGACAGGCCATCACCAAACTGTACTCAGAAAACAAATATATGTTATTAAAAGTATTACAGAAACCCCTTGAACACCAATACAATTTGTCAGTAACGAAATACATACTATGGCAACGCATACATTCTTTCGGGTATAGGTACAAAAAATATAGCAGGAAAGAACAGGAGAATATTGGGTGAACGATCAGATATTGTACGTTGGAGAAATCATTTTCTCAGGGCTTTCCAGAAAAAAATGGATGTTGGGTATGACCCGTGAATCTCAACGAGACTTGGGTAAATGCGTCTCATACCGCCAGCAGTCTATGGGTACCTGGAGGAAACTGCAGCTGGGGAAGGGGGAAAGATTGATTATTCTTCTTGCTGGATGCGCCAGCCAGGGCTTCCTACCTGGTTGTGATCTGGTGTTCAGAGCCAAGGCCAAAGACAATAGAAACTACCATACAGAGATGATGGGAACGGTTTCTTCGAGTGGATTCAAAATAAGTTAGTTCCAGCTTTGCCAAATAAGTCCCTTATACAAAGTTTTAGTCACGGACAATGTGCCATACCACAGCTTGCAGGATCCAAACAGCAAAACTCTGACGTCTAACAATCGTAAGGGCGATATGATTGCTTGGCTTAAAAAATTCAACATCCTGTATCCGTTGAAAGCAACGAAGCCTCAGCTGTATGAAATCATCAAAACCCACAAACAAGGACCCCGTATACAAAGTAGACACTTACATTAAGAGTAAAGGTCATGAAATATTGCGGCTACCACCATATCATTGTGACCTAAATCCAATCGAGATGATATGGGCCTGGGGTATTCTAAAAGGTGACGTCGGAAGATCAAATACCACGTTTAAATTACATGACGTTGAGGCCTTCGTGACCTACTCACTGGGTAAAATCACTGTGTGGCACTAAGGTTGTCAATGAAATTGCAAGCAGGTTACTGGCAGGTTACTGGTCCAACAGGCAACTGTCGCTACGCTTGTTATTTCCATCAGCTCTGACTGTGATGCCACGGATGACGAAGTCATTGAGAATAGATTTTGAGATGTAATTTAAATGGTTAATCATGATGTCAATTAATGTTTTATTTCAGGTTTGTAATGACCAAGTTTGTTTGTACATGTTCATTTATGCTTGAATTTGGGGATAAGATACAATGAGGAATTCTGCACACAATACTAGACATATTTATATCCAGAATAGTGAATACCAGTCTGTAAGGATGCGCAGGGTGGGGTGTGCAATTATGCTTGGGTGTGCACTAAACTGAAGAAACTATTGTATCTGAAGACCAGCTGTGTTTGTTTGTCAGACTTATGATATTCTTATTCCGCAATGACCAAAATTTGCAGAAGGTAAACAGTATGTGTGTAATGTTCGCTCTGTAACAATGTCACTCTTCAACTGGGCAATCTCCACAACTGGAGTCAGCTTCTCAGGGAAGCCATTGTTAATGAAACCTTCATTTTGTAGGCGTTGAAATCTACCACTTCGTCAACATCTCCGGTTTGTCAACAGAGCGTGTGTGTTGGTACTAACAACCTGCCGTGTAGACTAATACATAGTTCACACACGTATGTGTGTGTGTGTGTAACATCAGGCTGATGAAGAAACCTAACATGTGATATGTCAGTCTACAGCCTCACACTAGTGTAGCAGATATATACTGTCTTCACCTGAAGCAAGGGACTGTATTTAAGAGACTGTAATGGCCGATACAATGACTTTTCAGTCTCAGTCATGTAATGTGTGTTTCCTGTGACAGATGACAGATGTGTCAGAAGTGTCAGATTAATTGGGCTAGGCTGATGTTTCTGTTCAGTGTAGAGCTCTCAAATAATGAAGTTAGCATAGATATATACTGCAGGTTCTAATAAGTTTGAAATAATATACACTCTCCTCATCATGATAATAGTGTTTAACACATTATTTTAGAACAACATGACCGACTTTTATCTAGGACAAAACAAAAATGAAGGATGTCCGTATGCAGTTTATCTTATTGTGTGGTCACTTTTAAAAATTAATTTAATTTGTTTTAATGTTTTTCATATTGACCAGATCCACTAGAAAGCTGATCGATATTCCTTATGATCGTATTATTATCAGTATGATCTCAGATATACTATGAACTTAAACAAGGGTACTTCACAAGTTGATAAACATAAAAGATTCTTTATAAGGTGTTCAAATTGCAAAATATATCAGTAAATTTGAAAAGTTTGAAATTTGCCTTTTCTAGTAAGGATTGAAGCACCTGTGTTATCCTACCTCATCCAAATGTTGTCTTGTGAGATATGTCTGCCTTTGTGTTGTATAAGTCGACTGATAGATAGTGGTAAGTAGGAATCTGTCGTCAGAGTTAGTGTTCTGTTTTCCAGTGATCAGAAGTCTCACAATGTGTTTTGTGACCCACACCTACTAACACTCTATAACATGACAGTCTAGTGTGACAGCAAGACAGTGCCATCAAGTTGACACATATATTCATGCTCCTCTGTGCAGCTTGCTCATCCACTTGACAAAATTCAGAGTATGAATAAACATCTAAAACATAATCAATTAAACATGATGTATCGTGGATCAGCTGATACTTTCTTAGTGGATAAGGTTTAAACAACTTTCTCTCAAAGTTTATAAATTTATTGATTCAAGAAGAACAATTGGACCAGAAACTATTTATGGAAATGAATACACACATTGATTTATTTCTGTAGGCGCTGGTGAGGAGATTCTCCAACGCTGCAGCAGACATTGAGAGACTGAAGAAAACAATGGCTGAACTTGAGGTACTGTAGGGTCTGGGATACAGGGGGACTTGGTACATCTTTAGACATAGTCCTCTGTCTGTATAGATGGAGGTTACCTCTACATTCACCCTCACTAATTTCAACAGATATGGTCACATTTTTTTAATATTGTACAAACTGCAGCTCTTCATTTTGAGACGTATGTTTGTAATTATTAAAAGCCACCAACAATGATTTGAGGAGATGTACTTCTGTAAATATTAGCTTCTACCATGTGGTGAATGTCAAGCTGTTTCAGTCAGTAGAAGGTATTATGATTTGAAACATCTTATTCACCAGTCAGAATGTAGTATTTTCAAATTTATGTATAATTTTAAGCTTTAGCTTGAGGAAGGTATGTTTTCATTAGATACATAATGCCAGCTTTGGAAATGAGAACTGGCAAAATATCAAATTTTGAATCATTGTATTATTGAACTGGACATTCCTGCAGTTATCTACCTGATATCATGAGTTGACTGTAACAAGGTTGTAGTGATGCAAGTGTTCAAGTATAGTTCCAATACTGCAGGAGACAAAGGCTGACTTGGAACAAGTGACCACTCGCTACAATGAAACCTGCCAGCAACTCACCAGCACTACACGTCTGCTCACAGACACGGTAAGTCAAACGCACAGCACTACACACCTGCTCACAGACATGGTATGTCAAACACACAGCACTACACGTCTGCTCACAGACATGATAAGCCAAACACACAGCACTACACATCTGCTCACAGACACATTGAGTCAAAACACAGCACAACACGTCTGCTCACACACATGATAAGCCAAACACACAGCACTACACATCTGCTCACAGACACATTGAGTCAAACACACAGCACTACATGTCTGCTCACAGACACATTGAGTCAAACACACAGCACTACATGTCTGCTCACAGACACATTGAGTCAAACACACAGCACAACACGTCTGCTCACAGACATGTAAGTCAAACCCACAGCACTACATGTCTGCTCACAGACACATTGAGTCAAACACACAGCACTACATGTCTGCTCACAGACACATTGAGTCAAAAACACAGCACTACATGTCTGCTCACAGACATGGTGAGTCAAAACACAGCACAACACGTCTGCTCACAGACATGGTGAGTCAAACACACAGCACTACACGTCTGCTCACAGACACGGTAAGTCAAAGGTTGTTTAGTCATTAGTCATACGCCCATTTCTCATACGGCCACTAGTCATACGGAACGGACCGGATTAATTAAAACAACAAAGGCCATGCTCCCTACCATATAATAGACTCGCCTGCTTTTCTTGTGTGAGATCCAGCTGCTTGTCAAACATAAGTTAATACGTCTACTCTGCATACCGATTGTTTTGAATACGTTCTTAGAAAAGCGTGGTAAGATTATCATTCCATTTCCGATTCGAAATTAAACTATTATGTCAATTTAAGGAAATATTCAATTTGTTTAAAACTTAGTGTCTACTCATGTTGTAGATTGTTTAAGACTAACTGACTAACTACCTATATACTGACCTAAGATGGAAGAATCATCACTTATTGATCATTTATGCAGGTTTAATCGAAGTGGAATATGTGACATCAAGGCGAGGCACACGACAAGTTTTGTTTCAAGGTCATCTACACAACAAGAATTTGACAAAAGAACATTGTATTCACTGGCTGTGTGTCGTGAAAGGCTGCAGAGGCAGAGTGACAACCACTGGCAACTATGTCAGCAACAGCACAGCACACAACCACGGACCTCAGGATCAAGGCGCTGTGAAGTTCATCAGCAACATCAGGAAGCGAGCTAGTGAGGAGACCACGCCAGTACGACCCTGTACCAGGACGAACTAGCAAAACAGGATCCCCAGCTTGTGCCCCATCTGCTGTCTTACCCAAGTGTTTCCAGCGCCATGTACCGACATCGTCGACATATGATACCTGCCCTACTACAGACGAGAGGAGAAGTAGAGCTGGAGGGAAAGTGGACACAGACAATGAGTGGCCAGCCGTTTCTGCTGTTCACCGATGGAGATGGAGAGGAGAAGATGCTGGTCTTTTCATCCATGGACCAACTCTCAGTTCTCCAGTCAGCTGACAATCTTTTCATGGATGGGACTTTCTCATCATGCCCGGCCCTGTGGAATCAACTCTATATCATCCACGCAAGAAGAAGCTCCGTGACCTACCCCCTGGTGTTTGCTCTGCTCCCTAACCGTCGCACCCAGACCTACCGCGGTCTCTTCAGTCGACTGAAGGAAGAAATCCAACAACGACTGCACCGAGTTCTGTCCCCCACCACAGCCCAGACCGACTTCGATCAGGCCTCCATCCGCGCTGTTCAAGAGGCGTTTCTCACGACACGAGTCTGAGGATGCTACTTCCATTACACTCAGGCGATCTGGAGGAAGGTACAAGACCTGGGCTTAGCGGTCCAGTACAGGGAAGACCCGGCTGTCGGTTCATGGGTAAGAAAAGCCTCAGCACTAGCCCTCCTCCCTGCAGCTGAGGTACAGGATGCCTGATTACATCGTGACTACCTGGGTCGACGATGACGCCATGTTCCCCATCGCTCTGTGGAATCACCATCGCAACCTTGGACCCCGAACGAACAACAATCTGGAGGGGTTCCATTATCGGATAAACACGACCCTGCCTCACAGCCACCCCAACATCTTCAGATTCATTGAGCTAATCCAGAAAATCGAGAAGTCCGAGTCAGTGAAGATGGCACAGCTGGATTTTGGAGCTGCTGTATGCCCCAGGAAACACGTATATCGCGAGAAGGAGAACAGGCTCGCCAGACTATGGGATCAACATGAAGCTGGCCAGAAAACATCTCTGGAGTTCCTGGACGCTGCTGGATATCCACCAGACATCTAAACTGACTCTGTATGTGAAAAAGTACAGAAGAAATGTTTAATCGTGATGTGAACACTCTGCTAAATAATGTGTCAATATTAAGAAGAAGTATTGAAGAAATTATTATAGTTTGTGAACAAGAAATTATTTACACTTATATATTTATACTTGTTATTATAATAAATAATATCTTGCTAAATTCTTTTTGTTTCGTTTCATATGGGTCATTCCATTTACCTACAGAGGTACTAAGGGCTCATAATGTAAGAGCAATCACTCATGACGTGTTTATTTAAGGCGTAACACTAATGGGTCGTATGACTAATGGGGTTACACCAAGTCAAACACACAGCACTACACGCCTGCTCACAGACACGGTGAGTCCAGCTCACAGCACTACACGCCTGCCCACAGACAGGGTGAGTCCATCGACAGCTCACAGCACTACACGCCTGCCCACAGACAGGGTGAGTCCATGGCCAGCTCACAGCACTACACGTCTGCCACCAGACACGGTGAGTCCAGCTCACAGCACTTCACGCCTGCCCACAGACAGGGTGAGTCCATGGCCAGCTCACAGCACTACACGTCTGCCACCAGACACGGTGAGTCCAGCTCACAGCACTACACGCCTGCTCACAGACAGGGTGAGTCCATGGCCAGCTCACAGCACTACACGTCTGCCACCAGACACGGTGAGTCCAGCTCACAGCACTACACGCCTGCTCACAGACAGGGTGAGTCCATGGCCAGCTCACAGCACTACACGCCTGCTCACAGACAGGGGTGAGTCCATCACAGCCAGCTCACAGCACTAGTCCATGGCCAGCTCACAGCCTGCTCACAGACAGGGTGAGTCCATGGCCAGCTCACAGCACTACACGCCTGCTCACAGACAGGGTGAGTCCATGGCCAGCTCACAGCAATGTATGTCTGCTTTTGCCTCAGTAACAGGGTTTGGCCAATGTGGGCTCCCAGCCTTGTGCAAGTCATGCTCAGTCTTGGGACATGAAAAGTACATTAACTAAATACTTAACACCTTTTCTTACAGAAAGTGCGTCTGCTGGAGTATGAGGAGCAGTTTCAGGATAAGGTGCAAGCTGTGGATGACAAGTACAGACAACAACTGCAGGAGCTCATGAGGCAGAACACAGAGCTCAGGTACAGCTGGCAGAAACATTCCAAATGTTTGTTTTTATACATAAACAAGCATTTTATCTTCTGAAAAATGTGATGGGTGTACTCATTAGTAGGCTGCAGTGCATCCTGAGAAAAGCCAGGATTATGTCTCTTATGATGTCTCTATGTCCAAGATGTGAACACATTATGTCAGTTCTCAAGGATCTTGTCTGGTTACAATACAAGAAAGAATCTCAGGAAGACACTGTTGGTACATCAACAGGTTATTTATGGGAACTGTTGTTGGTGGTGGTGGTAAGTTCCACAAATTCTTTCAAATTATCTCAATAATAATAAGACTTACTTTGACTTCTAGGCGCCAGTACAACAAGAAATGTGGGGAGCTGTTTGATGAGAAGGCCATGTCTGAGAAGGAGAACTATCAGCGAGTGCAGTCAGCCAAGGAGACCATGAGGGTAGGTCACTGCTACTCCCTCTGTCATCACCTGGCACTACCTGTGTTCCATTATTGTGCTCTAATCCATCAGTTCAAACATATGTCTGGTGCATGTCTAATGTTGTCAGTCGTCTAAAGTGCTGCATCCACGGTCACGTTCATGCTTTGTCGTAACTAAAACACTGGGCAACCTAAGTCTCTCACTCAAAGATGTACCAAAGATGAAAGATAATTTCACCTTCATTTCAGACTCTTATCAAGGTTAAGGAAAGGTCAAAGGTCAACATTAGCGCTGCAGACCCAACACTAGAACAGTTAGGACGAGTGCCCAAAGTGCGACCAGGGAGTGCACCAATTACACGTCAGGAATCCAAAAGTGCACATCTGAGTGCTGGAGAAACTGATCACCTCCATAAACCTAAAGAATTTGTACGTCCAGAGACTGTGGTTCCCCAAGAAGACCCAGAGTTGGAGAAAATTCGTGAAAAGTTATTTTCGGAGGAAGTTCGAGTATTCACTAAAGAGGAAATAATCAGTGCTCTGGATTCATAACCTGTACACTCTCAGTGCTGGTGTACATCCCGGTATCCAGGGTTTGTCTTGAGACACACCTTAACTGTTCAGTCTCCTGACTCAGATTCAAAATGAATAGACATCTAAACATGAACCTGTAATCAATTGTTAGTTGTCACTGATATAGTGCACATCTATTAACAAGATTAAAATATATCTGCTGTGGAGAAGGATCGATTGACCTGTCTAAAACTACAACGGCAGCTATGTCTGGAATACCTTTTCATGGGTAGTATTGAATGGCATTGAAGAGTATTCAGGATAATATCTAATGCCTGACCATCAGGTCACACAAATCAGCACAGTTCATGTCCTGTAATGTCGTATCAGGAAACTATTGTTTTCAGCAGCCCATCTTTGGTAAAATTCACCCTGATTGTTTGTAGGTTTGGCAGCATCATGCTGTGGGTTTAACGGAAGTGTAAACGTCGGAGATCAGCATCATTTGGGCTTTCAGTTTCCACATCCACCTGACATGTCATGATGTAACTGAAACGCTGTTGACAACAGCATTAAGTCCACTCACTCATAATCACATCACTGACTTCGACAAAAAGACATAAATCACATCTGATACTTTCTCAGAAAAGATAGAGGCAACATATTCTACACACAGTTGTCTCCCTTTAGATGTTGTGGAGTGACCTCCCTTTACAAGTTGATGAGCAGCTAAAAGGAAACTTCAGCTACCAAATTACTCGAGATTTATTCACTTAGAGCAGGTTTTCTTTTGTGCTTTCCAAGATGTTTCAGAGGAAAGAAACATATTAGGTCTGGATTTCAATGGAAATGCTTAGAGGTCCCATTTTGCTGAACAAAATGCAAAATAGGAACTGATTGTAAATTGTTTCTAGATCACTGCAACATATCTGAGTATATATGTGGACTGTCATGGAGGAAGTAGTATATAGATAGAGATATTCTTTGTGACATAGGTAGCTGGGTGCTTTTTCATTCTTCAGTGTGATTTGATTAATTTCTCAGGTAACCAGATATTTTGATTGATATTGAATTACTACATCTCAGCATTGATTATTCTTGCCAGGAAATTCACAGTAAATAAGCCACATGGGCTTTTCTTTAAAAAATACAAAACAAATTGTACTTTAAAATATCAGAATTTGTCATACATTGATATTCCTTTGTTATACATGTTTCTGAATTAACATAAGATTTTCTGTCATGATTATTTCTGCTGGATCTACAAGGTACATGTATTAACACTTATATTTTCCATACCTCCTGTTTACATGTTGATTGATCATGTCAATGAAAGCATTTCTGTGATTGAAGAGAATCCCTTTGCCATTCCATGAAACCTTTATTCATGTATTGTATTCTTATCTCATGTTACGATTGTTTTTTAAGAATAAACTTTTGTGCTTGTTATCCATGAATCCTTATTTCAAAATGCTTTTTGCAGAACACATGTTTTTTTAAAATGTTTCCACCTGCAAGACACTATGTTGTTAGCACCCTGAGGGAATTCCGGTTTGAGGTCCCCAACAACCTGTGGTTGAAAGAGGCAGGTTTGTTCACGTCACAACATGTTGGTGTGGATCATTGCTTACACTATCAATCACTGGATTGTCCAGATACGATAATATGAGCCTGGTGTTAACAATGAAATGTACGAACTGCAGCATGGTCTCATTCAGAACTTGGTTCACTATGGAGTGAAAGTTGATAAACACTGCAGGCAGCATTAGTCGAGCAGCATCAAGGTGGCTGGGGCTGGATGATACAAACTGCTGGTTGATAGATTAAGTAAGTATCTAGTTTGTTTGTACTGCTAATGCGTATATTGAAGAGTTTTCTTTATCCATATAAAAGGTGACATGATGAGTTAGTTTAGTGTTACGCCTCATTCAGCAGTATTCCAGTTATATGGCAGCGGTCTGTAAATAATCAAATCTGGACCAGACAATCCTGTGATCAACAGAATGAGCATCGATCTGCACAATTAGGGAACTGATGACGTGTCAACAAGTCAGCGAGTCTGACCACCTGATCCTGTTAGTCGCCTCTTACAAGAAGCCTGGGTTACTGAAGATCAATTATAACTCGGATCTTCACAGGTAGTGAGATGGTGTAAAAAGGTGAAGTGGGGTTTAATTTTCACTTTCAAGGTCATTGTAGTTACATAGACAGACATACATTGTGTTTTTTGTGTTATGTATTTCATAATTGTTGGAAAGGGAGATCTGAGTGCACCAGGCAGAATTCCAAATTACAAAATATAATCATGAATCATTCAACAGACAAGCCTGAGTGACAATGTTCACAACAAACAACAGAAAACTGTTCAAGTTTCTCATCACCAAATTGAAGAATTTATTATCAAGAGTACAAGCCAAAAATGGGGGACAAATGTTACAAAGTGTCTCCCCATAGCCGATACTACATCCCACCCCCAGTCACAGTACACAAAATAGAACTTTATAATGTTACACTGTAACAGTCAACAGTCAGTGGCAACATTCAACACATAACAGACCAATCAGAAAACAGGAACTGCTGGCTCATCCGATCAGATTCTCCAATCATGCACTATCTTCATTCAAATGAACTTAATCTCACACAATCCAATCAGGCGTAAGTATTGGCCGATAACTGTTTCGTTTAGTATTGATGATTGTGCTGTTCCTGCATGCATCCAGTATAATTATCACATAGGAAATATACAATTTAAACTATGTACAATATCTTAAAAACCCAGCCAAATAATACGTCCCACAAATATGTAAAAAGGTTGTCATCGTCCAAAGTTTCCCCCAAATATCAAAATTTATGTCAACTGCATAGATTGATACCAACATTGTTCATGAGACAATCCTATTCCTTCACTATCTGTGTACATCACAGATGAGAAAAATACAAACATATGTAAATGATTCACACACATCACAAATCAGTGAGACAAACAGATCATGGTAATGCCATTTCAAGTGTGATCACAAGTATGTTGAGAATATTTCGTTGGATATGCAAATTTCACATTATATTTGTGACATAAGACGTGTAAACAAGTAACATTGGTTGGGTTACCTTACAACTTAACACAATCCACATATTTCAAACAAAAATAAACAAACGTACAACATATGCTGACCAAGTTCTCAGGTTAACCACTACCAACTCATCTGATGACAAATTTCAAACATTTCTGTGATTCTGTGATCACAATTAACACAGTCAGCTTTGGATAGCACAAAGTCCCCTGGCTACTTACCAAGTTACTCATTGCTCATTGGATCCACATTTATTGATCTGATAATGTAGGTTCTTTCTTTGAAGGCAAACCTAAACCATTCTGTTTCATCTCATATCAGAATAAAAATGCTAATTGCACATGGAAATAGCTAGACAATACCAACCTACTGGTAATCAGTTGCTCAGTACAAGGAGTTACACATCACCACATGCCTGAGTTGGGGCTCACACTGATTCCCACTGTGTAAATAGATGTTGTGGTCTTCCAAGATAGTCACCCACCTCGTACCAACCACGGCTACTGCGTGTTTAAGTGGTGTTTAATGAACAGCTCCTGCATGGACACGTTCACTAGAATTGCTTTCACACACTGCTATACTGAGTGGATGACTGAATGATGTCTAAAGTTGTAGTAAGAAGAATTTCATCAGCTGCCTGCACAGTATCATAGATTCTCAGCCAGGAAAAGCAATGGTTGATATTGCCTGCACAAATGTCATTATCAAGAATGTCACCAAACCTGACCCACAAATACAGTTTAGTCTAAAACTAGTTTGCTTGCATCGCATTTATTAACTGAAAATATTTGATTAATTAATTAACTGAAATTTAAAAAAATAATAATTAGATTTTGAATTGTGTGTCCTTGTCCCATCCAAAGTAGACTGTAGATCTTAAAAGATGAAATGCATGACTTTGATAATCAACACTGAGGAAAGTCTTATTAAAGAACATTTAAATAATTGCACGGACTGTCATCCACATGGGGAACTGATGCACTGGACCCACGATGTCTTATGTCTGGAGTATATATAAGTGTCAACATGTGGGCTGTAAAGCCAGCAACAACATCAACACTGGATACAAAGATGTACTATTTTACAAGATTGGGTTAAATATGTCTGGTCATACTGTGTCAACTCAATTGACAGGCAGTGGAGTGAAATCAACGATTGATATGGTGAAATTAACAAGATCAGCAGATGTTAGTGTAACATACAGCACATGTGGTCCCGGTGATATGTGTGATTTTGAAACAAAGTAATACAAAATGGACACATTTAATTTGAGTGGACTTAAAAATTTGAAAATAAATTCAGATGAAAGAATAATCAGTAAAGAAACATGAATAATTAGATATTTTACACATCCAAAACTATAAACAATGCTATCTATCTGATGACAAACAGTTGCCATGGACACGTCAATGATAACTAAATGTAATTTATGCAACAAAGTTTACCAGCACTAGTGCCATCAGCAACCATATTTGAAGCACTATTGAGTGAGATTTCACACAATTCAATTACAACACAAACACAAGTTTTAATGAAACAATTCAATACATGTGATAAAGCTTTCAGTTGGACAGATCAAAATAACACTGTTACAAAATACAGTTGATGAACTACGCTAAGCAGGAAGAGGTAGACCTATGTTTGGCAGTTCCAGCAGTAAGTACTTTCTTGTAAGTTTAGGGCAACTTTCACTCAGTGTCAAATCAAAGCATTTATGAAGGTGATGGATTCTTAGGATGAATCAAGCTGAAAACTATATTCCAAAAATCCCATAACGAAAACTACTGAATCCTTCAAAGGTCTCACCTAACCATAAGTCGAACTCTACAGAAGCTTGATGTCATAATATAAGCATGGTCAATCAACAGCAAATAATTCAACAATATCGGAATCTTCACTCCGGGTATGTCCATAATACCACAGATGTTTCTACCCTCTGAACCCTACCAATAGTCTGCATACTGCAGATATCCTCTTCTCGTCTATGTACACTGAGTATTTGGATGTAAGATCCCAGCACTAGCACTGATGTAGCTATAAGCATGCCCTAACTATGTGCATATACGTTATATATAGGATTATAGGATGGGTCTTGTATACACAACTACAACTATCATGCATGTCTACTTGACTTAAGAACAATCCAAGTAAGGACTGTATTATCATCTCTTCATGAACTAGGTGACACATTTTCAACGAATTGAATTCATTGACTAAAACAGAGCCAGCGACACCACAGGAGACCAATGGACACAATTAGAGACCCAGGGACACTTGCAGGCCTTGGGATGAAATAGGAGGACACCTGAGGGTACAACAGGAGATTCAGGGATACAATATAACACCCATAAGCACAATAGGAAAACCAGGAATAGAATAGGACACCCAGGGATAGCATAGGAGACCCAGGGACACAATAGGACACCAATAAGCACAATAAGAGAACCAGGAATAGGACACCCAGTGATACCATAGGAGACCCAGGGCACAATAGGACACAGAGAGACACAACAGAACACCCAGGGACATAATAGGACAGCCAGGCAATTAATAGGAAACCTAGGGACACAATAGGACACTTATCAGTACAACAGGAGATGCAGGTATACCACAGGAGACCCTGGGATACAATAGGAAACCCATGTATACCATGGGAGACCAAGGGATATAATTGGAGACCCAGGGATACAATAGGAAACCCATGTATACCATGGGAGACCAAGGGATATAATTGGAGACCCAGGGATACAATAGGAAACCCATGTATACCATGGGAGACCAAGGGATATAATTGGAGACCCAGGGGTACAATAGGAAACCCATGTATACCATGGGAGACCAAGGGATATAATTGGAGACCCAGGGGTACAATAGGAAACCCATGTATACCATGGGAGACCAAGGGATATAATTGGAGACCCAGGGATACAATAGGAAACCCATGTATACCATGGGAGACCAAGGGATATAATTGGAGACCCAGGGGTATAGGAAACCCATGTATACCATGGAGACCAAGGGATATAATTGGAGACCCAGGGTACAATAGGAAACCCATGTATACCATGGGAGACCAAGGGGGAGACAGGGATACAAAGGGATATACCATGGAGACCAAGGGATATAATTGGAGACCCAGGGGATACAATAGGAAACCCATGTATACCATGGGAGACCAAGGGATATAATTGGAGACCCAGGGGTACAATAGGAAACCCATGTATACCATGGGAGACCAAGGGATATAATTGGAGACCCAGGGGTACAATAGGAAACCCATGTATACCATGGGAGACCAAGGGATATAATTGGAGACCCAGGGGTACAATAGGAATCCCATGTATACCATGGGAGACCAAGGGATATAATTGGAGACCCAGGGGTACAATAGGAAACCCATGTATACCATGGGAGACCAAGGGATATAATTGGACTGACTGACTGACTGACTGAGTTTGGTTTTACGACGCTTTTAGCAATATTCCAGCAACATCACGGCGGGGGACACCAGAAATGGGCTTCACACATTGTACCCATGTGGGGATTCGAACCCGGGTCTTCGGCGTGACGAGCCAACGCTTTATCCACTAGGCTACCCCACCGCCCCGGATATAATTGGAGACCCAGGGGGACAATAGGACACCTAGGGATATGACAGGAGACCAAGGGACACAATAGGACACCCAGGTATAGCACAGGAGACCTAGAGACACAATAGGACACCCAGGTACAGCATAGGAGACCTAGAGACACAATAGGATACCTAGGGACATGACAGGAGACCCAGGGATACCAAGGTATAACATAGGAGACCCAAGGACACCATCGAGTCATATCATAGTCTACGTTTGTCAAACACTGAACAGGTAACACAAAATGTCATAAATGTCTAATGTCAGAAAGTAATAGATTTGTGGATTGAAAAATCTAAACTTAATTTGTGTATAGCAAAACCAAACTATTCATAGATAAAACTTGTCCCTGGTATCATTGCATGTCATGACAGATATACATTAACAATATCATTCAATATATGGCACAGGGTTCAGGTGTAAATAATCATCACTACAGACAAGAGAGAATTTCACCCTAAATCAATCATCTCAACATGGTAACAGACATATTGGCACAAAGGAAAAATTAATCTTAATAAATCACAGTCAACTATAAATAAAGTCAACATTATTTAATATCATTGTGAAAATTTCAATGTGTTATTCCAAAGAAAAATATCTGGGTTGTTTTATACAAAGAAAAATAGATTACTCTTTACAAACAAAAAATGTTTTAAAAATAAATATCATGAGCAAGAAATTCATATGTATCATGTTTTGAGTGTTTTGTTTCTATACTTCTTCTTCTATATATGTAGTATATACAAAATACCAAGGTACACATGCTTACACATGTACAAGCAGATTTACTGAAAACAGGATTCAGGAATTACTCAGAGTGTTAACCTTCGGTCAAATTTTCTGACTAGGGCTGAATTGAAAGACTTGTACAATCAAGCTAATTATGGAAATTTGTAGTTACAATGTTCTGAAGAATACCGTCTTTGGGGACATTTGCATATCTACAGTCTGTAACAAAGCGTTTTACACAGCAAAGTATTGTCTGTACAAAGTTTACATTCTAACCATAAAAATGGACGAAGTCAATGGTGTCATATCATGACGGAAGTTGCATGGAGGTTCTACATGTGCAAGTTTCATCATAACAGTAGAAAATAACAAAAATTACGCTTGTCAAATCAAACCATTCACCCACAAAATAAGAATGTTCAACTCAGGAAGTTTCTCTTAGGACACATACACTTGAGATGGATGTAAGGTAGTCAGAATATGGACCCATCCATGAATATGATGAGTTATTTCATCTTTCAGTAACTGACTATAGTGATCAACATATTTCATTGTGTCATGCCAATTTAAGTCACACTGTCATAATATTACACTTCACAAATCATTTGAATTATAAAGAAGTTAATGGCATTTCATGTGTCTGTTCTGACGCTGAACTGAAAATAAAGTGCTTAGTATGGACCATAAAGGGGAATACTTTGAATCTGTTGTCATACTAATAGGTATTGAAGACATCCCTCCAATTTAGTCCACCTATACTAGTTGCTTTCAGGATTTATTAATGCAGAATATAAAATAATGTACACAATGAAAATCATCCTTAGGTAAAGACCATTTTCCAAACACAATATTTGCAAGAAATTCCTGTGTAACACATTAACACTTGTTACAATAATAACAAAAGGAAAACAATGTGTGCATATGAAAGCCATTAAGCCAGTAGTTAATTCTCTCCATTTACACTTGTTCCATTGACGGCAGGGGTTCCTGATGTCTTGCCAGCCTGACTAGATTGAGCATTAGGGTGAGGACTGGGATTACTTCTGCCTCTTCCCCCACCATCCCGACCCCTGCCCCCTCTACTCCGACCCTCCCCATGCCCTCTTTGGCTGCGCTCATATTCCCTTCGATGTGAACCATCCTCAGGATAGCCATCCCCCCTCCCTCGACGTCCTCTCCCCCTTGGTCCTCCACTACCATATCTGCGAGGACTGGATTGTCCACCTGAGTAGTTCCTTCTAGGGGACTGGTTGGATCTGTTGTTGGGGTTGGTTTGCTGTGTGGAACCTGACTGAGCAGACTGGGACATGCTAGAGTGGTTTTCTCTCACGTGATCAGAAGCGTCTTTTGGGGGAGTATCCTTGTTGTTATCCCATCTCCTGCGACCAGACTTGTTCCTCCGGGAGTCATCTGGAACATGGAGGTATTAAATCTCTAAACAACTCATGTCTTCTGTAATAAATAATGTTGGGGAAACACATGTTCTTTGTCTAACCTGCCCCAAAACAGAACAATGTAATTTTAAAAAGAACACCATTGTGTGTTTATACAAATTTCAACCATTTACTACATCTGCTGATAGTGGTCCTTGTTTTAGCCGATGTAGATAGACACAAATGGACCCAAAACATTTACTTTCAATTTTCCAAACAATTTGACTTCATGTATGAACAAGCAGTGGCAGGTCCTACAACGTACTGCCTTCCACCGACGTACCTCCATGATCACCATCTTCTTTTTGAGCAGTTCCTGATGCAGGTCTGTTTCTAGGAGGTGGAGACTTTACAGACAAACCCTAATAAAAAGAAAGGATTAAATTACATATACAGTAGTTCTGTTTTATCAAACTTTGTTTCAGTACCTTCAACTTGCAATATTTGGTATCATTTTTAATAGGTTTAACTAACTTCAAACATTTTGATATCTATTCATGTCAGCTTACTAACTTTTCATGATTTCATTCTTATTCATGGATCAAACACTGCATGTATTCTGCCCAATGACATATACTTCCGATTAAATTCTGAAACTGAACGACTTTCTTGGCAGGCAGATTCTAACTATGGAGAGGGATCAGGTTATCTCATCACTTGTCATGCAGATATACCTCTGATCAAGGATCAGGCAAACTCTCCCCGCTGCCACCCTCTTTATCTCAACGACAGAGTGACATAACTGACAACAAGTGTTTGTTATACACAACATATTCTGGGTGTATAACGACTGCCTGTAAATAATCCAGTCTGGATAAACCCATGCTTGATATTATGTGCAACAGTCTCTTCCACTGGGGTACAATAACACACACAAGCAATGAAGTCTGACACCTAATCTATTCAGTCCCCTCTCACAGGTTGCTGGGGATCTACTCTATGTCAGAATCCCCAACAGGAGAGTACAACTGATTACATCATTAAAACACTAATACAGACAAAAATCCATGACACCCTACAGAAATACTGTAAAGGAATGGGATTGACACTCAACCTTCACCTAAGGGGAGATAATATAAGGCATCTAATGCACATGACGAAGATGGAAAGCATAGTCAAGCCAAGCCCATGACAATCAAAGATATCATATTCAATCAGACGAGCTCAAGGGGAAAAAAATCATTGGAACTTAAAAGTAAATATATAAAAAATAGAATCAACAGAAAATATAATAAAAAAGAAGCAATGCATTACAGCCAGCTGCTTGGGGAGGGCTAACTTTCACGCGGGTTAATTGATTTGTCAGGAATAAGAACAAGCAGACATACAAACCTTCTTCTTATTAGGTTTCTGCATAGTGAAAAATACAACATCAGATGAATGGTGCCAAGATCTACATGAGCAACAGATAGTCATACATGATACTATAGCAGGCTCACAACACTTCTGTAAAATATAGCTCACGGGATTCCCCTGCTGGGAAACTCCAGGGGAATACACAAGGGATATATTCCTTGTTCAAGATAGTTACAGTCAAATCTGATTCACTCTTAAGCCCTGTATATGATAACTAGATACAGATGAAAATAGCTCCAAACATATTAACCAAGACATTTAATACTGGAAAAATAGGAAAGAAAGTGTTCCTTTAAGATCACTAATAAAAAGTATCCTTTGTCTTCAAAACATCAACATCACACTTTTGAGGATCTGTATGATAAACCATTGACTCACATTATGATATATAAAATGTGCAAGATCTTCTAATTGCCTTTTTTCTCAAAAACTGCGGATTCAAAGTTAGATTTCTACAAACCCATTCCCTCCCTCTGTCATCATGGTGATAGCTAAAAGTGCCTAATTGTTCACAAGTCACAAGAAAGAGACCTAAGTTCAGACAATGAAGAAATCATTTGCTTGCCATCTGATTGGTTAGAGCTAGTTTCTCTGTATAATGCTACATTTAATTGAAATGTAAGTTTTCTGACTTAAGAATTTCAAGAACGAATCTGATTGACTGAAAAGGGTAGTTTTGCTTGGGACTTGAGCTGATTCGTGATCTATGTCATAACAAAGCACCCTTCAGATGACAGGTTCCAAGAGTTTCAGGAAGATTTATTAAACAGAAATCTGTAGTTCTGATCAAAATAAGGACACTTATGCCTATATTAACAGTAATCAGCTGGACTTTCACTCCTACTCCAAACCAACTCCATATGCAAGTCAATACTGCTGAAACACATTACTCAACAGGTGGCTGTCAGATACCATTTATTTTATGAGTTGTGTCAAAGACACGAAAGTGAATTCCCCACATAGTTAATGACATGCTAGAGTACAGCTATGTGTTTCTTACACACCAGTTTAGATCAGGAAGGATCATGAGTGACATCACCACTGCTGACTGACTATTACCGATACCTAGTGCGACGTGTGACAAAAGAGTTTCAGATTCATCTGCGGATTATCAAGGCGATGAAGGTAACGCCAACAAGACAAGATCAAACAACATCTAAAACATTGTAAATCCACAACGTATCGACTCAGCCATAGGTAAATTCAACGGAAGCGAACAACACCTATCAGTGGATTACAATGAATGTAATTGCATTTCATTCTTTGTGTTGTAAAGATAGAGGTGTGTTTATAAATGAATCCTATCAATCGGACTCCACTGTATTTCAATCAGAACTTCAGATTCCTGTGCTTTTACTCTTGTTAGTCCCTGAAGAACACTGTCAATCATGTCCCTTCAAGGTGTGGAGACTAACTTGTGGAGATGTAGACTAAGCTCACCTGTAATTGCAGGGAGTCTTTCAATCGTTGTTGCAGTTGAGCCATTTCCGCCGCAGACAAGGTGTTGTCTCTTGGAGTTGAGGCACTGTCTAGGTCTGGAAAAGTACCAACAGCCATTACCTCCAAACACTTGTAATTTGACCTTATAGCTATGTTTAGTGTAGTGACATTTGAACTGGACTTGAAAGAAGATATGTTGGAGAATGGGAATTAATTATAACAAACACCGACTGAAAGATGGCAGGTACAAAACAAGAACAAATCCGCGACATATTTAGTAGTTATGTGATGACATATTACCAGTATGCATAGGTTGAGATCTAAGGCCTGGAGACGTGGGCTCGTCCTGTCCGACACTGCTAGCTACCGAGGAGACGGATGGACGCCGAGTGTTGTAGGAGCACTTCACAGGTACAACTGAAAATATTGATAGGGACACCAGTCAACACCTTTGACTCTGGAAAACAGTTCCAACTTGACACATTAAAAGTTTTCCCATATGCATCATCTAGGAGGGCTATGATTGATTTCAACTAGAACATCAGTGTCCATGTTCTTATTTAAGTTGTTGAAGAAAACAGTTTCCCTGTCATCGTCAAGTCTATGGATACCAGTTTAGGATGTTTCTGTAGTCAAACAGGCTGGACGTCTGGGCTACGTCACACAGAAGTAAGAATGTACCTGTCAATTATAGATGCTTCTAAACACACAAAAGAAACTAATATTCCTTTGAGAAATTGAATGAACGGTATGATTTTGTTTGAGATGGGATGTAACTAGTCATCAACACCATCAAAATATCCACAAACAGATCAACTGTACTGGCAAATTTCAAAGACATCGTGAAAAATGTCATGTTTTGGTTACACGCTACACAATCTCACCTGATCCAAAAGTCCTGATTTCCTGAAAGACAAACACAAAATCATTTAAATCAAATCTGAACTGCCATCATCACAAGTGTGTTGGTGACACCTTAACAAAACACATGGAAGGAACAAAAAACTGTGGTAACTGTGAGTATTGAGACAAGCATTCTAATCAAATGAATGATGATTCCTGTAATGATCTGCTTACCTGTAAAAAATGGTCCGAGTCATATGTAAACCTTGTAGTCCGGCCAAGATCCTCGTCTACCTTCCGGTCACTTACAAACAACTGAAGGAAAACAAGGATATACCAGTTACATCTCCGGAAACGAAGCCAACCCCTCCCTTTTGAGACTAGGTCCGAATCGTTTCCATGGCAACCGGGAAATATAAAAATGACAATAATCTGAAAATAGCAAAAGGTACCACTTTTGGATCTGACTCACATATCTGCCAAGTTTTGCTGAAGGACATTAAGAAATTTTCGAGTTGTGCTCTGGAAACGAAGCCCACTCCTCCCTTTTGAGACTAAGTCCAAATCGTTTTCATGGAAACCGAGAAAAATGAAAATGACAAAAATCCGTAAATAGCAAAAGGCACCACTTTAGGTTCTGTTTGATATATACACCAATTTTTGTTGAAAAATATTGAAAGTTTTTTTAGTTATGCTCCGGGAAAGAAAATAATTACGGACGGACAGACAGACAGACGAGCCATCGACTATATCCCCCGCATTACATACAAGATGCTGTGACTTTTTTTTATAGCTTTCATACACTGTTTTTCAATTTAATACTCACTTTAATATCGGCCCTAAGTTCTGCTAGTTCGGTACTGTTAAGTCGCTCTGCCCTCTCCACACGCACTTTCAGGTCTGCAGCCTTGACTTGACGCATGCGGAACACCTGGTCTACACAGAACAATACATACATCAGCTTACACAACAAGCCCCATGTCTTGTTGTAACCATGCATGTCTACATGAGCCTGTACACATCAGTTTGCCTACCATCTGTTATTTAGTAAAAGCTTTCCAAGCTCAATGTATGATCAGACTACATTGATGGAACATAACTTGCTCCTCTTAACAAGCACCTGCAAACCCATTCTGACCTGGGCATGGCTGAGTTCTGATAGTTTATTTGGTCACTGTTTAATGCAGGCTATAATTCATCAAGTCTGGACCAGACAGTTCAGAAGCTGATATCTGCAGTATCAATCTATGCAAAAGGTATATACTGACACGCATTGATTGAGTCAGTGGCTTATCATCTGATTGGATTAGCCACCTTTACAACAAGCATGGCTTGGTGAAGATCAATTGTAACCCGATGTTCACAGGTCTGTAGACAGTATCAGACAAGAACCCTGACAACTACACATGGACATTTATCAGATTCAGATTCTGAGGTCTACTCACTGGCTTGGTCCTTCAAGGCATCAACTTCTCGTATCAACTGAACCTCCCGGTCATTAAAGCTGAAGCAAGATGACGACATTGATGTAAAAGGGTTATTGGTGTATCATGTTTTTCTCTATGATCATCTGAGATGGTTAATCATGTCTATGCATCATAAATGTCAACTGTCAATTACATTTCTATTTAATGATAATGCAAATAAAATATATTTTCAACTGTAATCAACACATAATAACAAATATTTTGTTTTATTGGCAGCTCCATTTGGTTTATATCCACACCCCTCAAAATGAAGCAGCATATTACTAAAAGAAACTTCATGCTGGGATGATGTTACTCTTTTTGCCAAACACACACGCACGCACGTATGTATGATTAATACACTGGACTATGTCATGTTTGTTACTCCAGAGTTCTGTGCAGCAATCATCAGACAAACTGAAATCAAGTTGCTTGGAACTATGTTTTTTCTCACTCAGCTTGTGTGCTTTCCATGCCGACTGGTTGAAAGTAGTCCACTCTTTTTGTTGATCTTGTTGCCGAATTTCCAGCTTCTCTTCAATACATAGTTTACATAATCCTGAGTCTCGCTTATATATACAGACAGACAGACAGACAGACCCAGACACACCCACACCCATACACACACACACTACACAATATTTGCCAAGAACAACAATAGTCATCTTCCGTCATTTGCCTTTCGCAAATGAAAAGCAGACAAACAGCAGCAATTTACTTTGTTGACATTTCAATCTGATGGCAACAAATATACCCCTTCAGTGAGTGGGAGCATCCCTGTACACTACATCAAGCGACCTACCAGTTCCTGGCCTCATCAAACACTGCTTTCACTCTCTTGTAAGCCTTCTCTATCTCAGAGTCCAGACCCATACGTAACCTCTCCAGGGATATCGTCTGCCGCTGAAGATCTTTTGTAGACTTTTCCAAACCTGCAATACAACAATCAGAAATCTAGTTGAGGCAATATTTACATATATATGTGTAATACCTCTGTAACTAGATTGAAACAGTAGACAGAGACATTGCAAACAGATGGACAGCTCCTTCAAAACGTGTGATGCGACTGAATGAAATGTAAAGTCACAGTAAATTAAACTTGTTTACCAGAATGCTCAGACACAAACAAGGCAACCCAACAAAACATGTCAGTGTGGCTAAAGGAACGTACTACTGAGTCAGCACCCTGACAATTGGTCTGAAGCACTATGGTCCTACCTGCAAATGGTTTCTTTACGCCCTGGCTGCTCACACTAGACACACTTCGTTCTCTCGAGGTTCGTTGTCGCTGATGATGCGTGTTTTGACTGCCATGGGGATGATGATCTGCAACATTCCCATCATACATTGTCATGCAGTCACTTGACAATACTAGATCTGTGCAACTTGACGGCAATCGAGGCAATGGAGTAGGATGATTAAACTAATTGTTGTTGGGAACTCTAAATCTCTTTGGTGGATCTTACATACATGTTACCACATTTAACACAGAGTGTAAATACACAAGACATCTCAAGAAATTTGGTCAGGTTTTCAATCTAAGGTGATCATAGTACAAGAACATACCTGAGTGTTTGTCCGAATGTTTGTTATAGTGTTTGTTGTTATGTGTCGATTTCTTGGCCTCATCAGTAGATGTGGGTGTCGGAGCAGACACTGTGGAGGGAGCTGGTGTAGTGGAGGGAGCAGAGGGTGGGGCGGCTGTTGCCCCGCCGGGGGCTTGCTGTGTAAGTTGGGAAGTGTCTCCGTCCAGCAGCCTGGCCCGTGCCTGCAGCAGCTCCTCATCTGGAATCAGCAGCAGGTCACACAATAGGCTTCTTGCATCTGGTCAGTGTTTCACTTTTAGTCCAGTTGTATCACAAACCACTAACACTCAAACTGGTTACCTAGCCTATAAGATGCATCCCTATGTTCTTTGTCCAATATGCTAAGGACTGACTGTGTACTGTTTTCAGTGTTAAAAAACTGATGTGTAAACTGTATCAATGTGCATGGCAGATTCTCACAAAAGATTTCACATCTTTATGTTTATTAATACCTAAATGAACTGTAAAAAAATAAATTCAACCCTAATGATTTTATTTCACAAATACCACATGTTTTCAACAACTGTTGAATGAATATAAGAAAAAAATCTACAACAAAAATCATAGAAATCAAAACAGATACATCTGATAAGATCAAGAAATATTCCTGGCACAGGGCTACATATTATGGCATCACATCTGAATCAGGTCGCTGAAGTTAGTCAATACAGAGTAACATCAAACAAAGATCAAAGCATTCTCGATAATCTCCAGGGTACACATTCTGATAAATCGCCACTAGTACCCTGCATGCATTTACAGCTCAGACTGATAATGTTATAACCTCCCTTTGCTGGCTCCGCCTTCTCACAGTAGCCAATCTGATAACCGTTACAAACGAGCTTTCCAGTATAAAAAAAGATAGCAGCTACAGCTGCAAAGCTTTGATCGCTGTGCAACTCAGATTTAGGGAAATATCATATAGACAAATTGACAGGTATGAAACCTTAAAAAATATATGCAAGAACTCCTTCTACCTCTTAACATTACTGTTTACCGAAGAAGCTGAAGTGAGTTATGATAGACGCCTTCTGATTGGTACACTCAACTTCCCAGCGTAGACACCTGATTGGATAAAAAGCCAGCAAAGGTAGGTAATAAAATTATCGGGCCGAGCCGTAGATACATCCAGTGTACTATTGGAGATTTATCGGCAGGTATACCGTGGAGATTATCGAGGATGAGATCAAAGGGCCTGTAATGGAGTTGCTCCACTTGCATCAGTGTATATACAAAGGGAAACCACATCTCTCTACAGTAGAAGTGAGTGAGTGAGTGAGTTTAGTTTTACAACGCTCTCACCAATACTACGGTCTCTAAAAAAATAGATAAATAATAATAGAGTCTGGGCCAGACAATCCAGTGATCACCAGCATGAGTATTCATCTATGCAACTGGGATACGATGACATGTGTCAACCAAATCAGCGAGCCTGAAGATCAATTCTAACCCAGATCTTCACGGGTCTCTACAGTAGGAACTAACATTAGCTGATCCAGTCATTTCTATACCTACAGACACATTCCATGTGAATCTCTCCTTCTCACATTACAACTACCATGCTTCCCACTACTTTCAGCATACACTCGCCTGGAAATCAGATTTCTGGTTAACAATCGGAAAGGTATTTGAATCACTATCACAATTCTGGTGTGAAATCTGTGTCTTACGTGTTCCAATTTGAATCAAAAGGTATATAAAAACGAGTCCCATTGTTTGAATGTGAAGCAGATTATAATTTTGACTTGACTCCATCATGGTCAGTAGAGGGGTGGGACCTATCTCACCTTCATGTACATCCCCATTTGTAAGTGGCTCTTTGGTATGGTTGGATACAGCAGTCTTCTTGTCATCAGTGGAAGGAGGACTCTGGTTACCTCCAGATGCTTTTGCCTTCTTATTTTTTTTCTTCTTATTTGGGACCTAGAACCATGAAACATAAACATGTGTATACTGAGTCTGAAATACTAAAGCTTTCTTGCAATGGTTAGCTCAGTAATCTATCCTGATCAGACACACCAAGAGGACGAAGTTAGGCAACTGAGCACGAGAAGCAGTGCTTGAATCACCCACTTGTCTGACCATCAGCCACAGCCTGTTTTGGTCATGGATGGTCAACTGATAAAATGTACGTGAATTTTTAACACTGGTAGTGGTCCGATATACAAAAATAAGTCCAAATGTTTTATAGGCATTTAGAAGTTGGTAGGGTAATAAAACACACTTGATATGGATGTGCAACTTCTTTATTATTTACACACGTTTCTGGGCTAATACCTGCCCCTTCATCAGAAAAAGGAGCAAGTATTAGCCCAGAAACGTGTGTAAATAATAAAGAAGTTGCACATCCATATCAAGTGATTTGTATTAAAATAAGTCCAAAGCCAGTTATTTGGAACAGACCATGGCTTTAAGCAAATTAGAGTGCGATGATATTTTATTACAAATGATACTGTTTAAATACCCATTTTGAAATTAGACTTAGCATCATCATAAACGATAGCTGAGGTAACAAATAATAACTTTAATACTGAAACTATTAAGGATGTAGCTACCATGGAGTCTCACTATCACTATAAAAACAAACAGGAAGGAGGAACCGTCTCAAAAGGAAAACCAGGACAGGTGTTGGGGTCGGGCTGGGGATAGATATATCAGCTAAGATAAGAATGATAATCCCTTAAGGGAATTAAACTTGGGAAGTACACGGCATGCCATAACAATTTACAAATAATATGCAGTCCTGTCGATCTTCGGGTGGTCATGCCACTTATATATTTTAAGACATTTAATACGTTGGCTGATTTAAGCTTTTCTATGGGTATCATACTGTTTCACATATCTCAACATAAACTTTATGAAGGAAAGACACCTTAGATGTTAATCAATAAATGAGACATATTCAGCACACAAGAAAAAGCATAAAATATCTTTGAGATGACCCTTTGTGCCTGTAGGCAACACATGCAATTCATGCCAGGTGAGTTGACAGTCCATTGTCATACCTGGAGAGAAGGAGACTATTGTCAAGTTGTTAATGGAATCCCTAACATGTATGATTAGGGGCACATTTGCCTTAAAGGGATGCATTTCCAGCAGATGTCAATCACAGACACATGGTTGTTGTTTCATGACAAAAAGTCAATGATTAGGAAATGAAACATGAACTCTTTTCAACAAACTCAACTCTGAAAATATCTATTACAGATTCAACAAGAAGGATTAAGTTTGCTGATCAGCGTAGCCCCTACATACATACCTTGTTACCAGTAAAATGCCATTCCGTTAAGGCCTCTTTAGCACCATCTGAAAAAAAGCATTCAGATCTTATTTTGAATACCATACTCTTCTGATAAGATACAAAACGTATGTGTTGATGTCAAGCATAAGCCTCAGCATGTCAAAGTATGACATTGTTGAGGCACCTAGTAAACAAGATTTACTGATGTTTATTAAATCGCAGTCATCAATATTCAAGGTAAATCTAGACAAGGCTGGAGAATGAAAGAACAATCATGCCATCAAGGTATGATAAAACACAATGTGCCAACACAATCTGCCAACACACACTGCCTTACCACCCAACCCAATCCAATCCAATCAGGTCATCTCTTACCACTAGCAATAGAGTGGGTGTCTACATTAATCAGGGTACCAGTTAGTAATTAACAAGCACATTGTCCTGGTAGTATTGTGGCAAATCCAAAGATGTTAATATTGTTGAAAGTAACACCAGGATGGTTCATGTGCAAGCAACACGTAATGGAGAGTGTGACAGGTGTAAATACTGTGCATCCGAAAGTCCCTGCCCAGGATTAATCATACCTTCCTATCTTCATGAAGGCAATAAGTATCTGTACTTTATCATCAGGTCAGCGTAATATGGTCACTATCTAATCTGTCACTCACCTTCCAGGTATGCCTGTATTGCCCTTTCTACATTGTAATCATAGTACTGAAGAACTAGAACTATCTCATTGGTGCTCTTGCCCGGGACCACTTCTCGCACTGCAGTAACCTGAAAGTAGCAATGTATTGTATCCATTGCATTCACCTGTTATACACTATACTGACATGACACAAATTATCATTACACACTTTATCAATGGTATTTTCTCCTGGACAAATCAAACAACTACTTTTCATGCATTAAACATCCATGCATTCATCATGCTCAGGTGCAAATTGTTACATTTGTTGAGATCAAAATCAGGATGATTATTCCAACCTTAGCTCAGCATAAAATTATTTGAAACAATTCACTTTATGAGGTTTCCATCATGCTGACAAATATGATAGATGAATCATTTAGCCTCTGATGTGCATCAGTTACATTTAATCAGATCTTTTGCTTCGATATGCTACATCTCTGCACGGAAATCTGATGACAGCTCCATGGGAGGTCGAATCAGGTGAACTTTCCCATTACACCACTGAGTCTTCTGTATTTTCAGTACAAGTGAGAAGAAACCATCCAGTCTTCATTTATACTGGACAGTGAAAGTTCACTCAACTGACATGACCTCCTATGGAATGGGGGAGGTGGGGTAGCCTAGTGGTTAAAGCATTTGCTCATAACACTGAAGACCTGGGTTCGATTCCCCACATCGGTACAATGTGTGCAACCCATTTCTGGTGTCCCCTGCCATGATATCGCTGGAATATTGCTAAAAGGCGGAGTAAAACTAAACCCACTCACTCTCCCATGGACTCCTAGGTGTCATTAGATGTTCATGCAGAGAGGTATGTGTACCACATCTGAGTGGAAGATTCTCTGTGTCTGCATGGCCACATGACTTCAGCTACTTGGCATCTTTCTGATTTCTGGCAACTAACATACATCTGCTTTCCTTTAGACTATTCCCCATGTTCAACCGAGGTCATGGATAGAAATACTTGTGTTCCAGGTAACATGGACCCAAGAAGTAGAAGTTGCATTAATTGTATGGTCAAAATAGCTGGAAAAAATTGTTTTTATCCCAATGTAAACGATGAGTTTCGTGATGGCTGTTTCTGACTTTATGAAAACATCTGGCAAGTGGTGCTACCTGAATCACAGCTTTTGGGAGACTTTCTCTGGCAACATGTTCCCAAAATACCACACACAGTATATCAATTGAATGACATTTTAACATCTTTGGGTGTCATTTTAGTACAATAGAGACAGACTTTGTGGAGTACAACTTCTTTATGTTGTGAGTGTAACATTTCGATACAGATGTCTGTACCATTGTCAAGCAGTAATGATCATATTCAAGAAACATTCTAAACATTAATCTGTTGTAAGCATGTGCACGATCATGTTGATTTCAGTTTCAAGTTTTTCGGTGAAGAGTAAAGGCCTATCCAAGTCCTTCAGTACACCTGGACACAGTTTGCCACCCTACCTTTTCTTTCACATTGACCTTGTCCTCAGAGTTGACCTCGGCCATCACAGCTTTGGTGCGTGTGTCAAAGTGAATGGATGTAGCGTTATCTGGAACAAAAAACAACACAATGAGCAACGATAACGATCATTTACAAATGCCAGTCGGAACAGATCCCTGTGAAATATGACAGTGTTGAAAATTTGGGGAGGTCCTGATGTCTGATGTCTGCAGCTTCAGAGTAGGAATACAGCATGTCTGGGGAACCACTGAATTTCAACCCATTATATTAGTGTTCTGACAAGGACAACGTGACTTCCATGCTAAACATTATGATGTGTAGATACGTAACATATGCTATAAACTGTTATCAGTAGGTACATTTGATACAGGGGAAGTAGATCAAACTGATAACTTGCTTCTGTAATATACACTATCTCCAACTGCTGCATCTTCAACAGGTGGAGTGTCAACAATATCAACAGGTGGAGTGTCAACAATATCAACGGTAACCCACAAAAACACCACAATGTTCGAGCCTAAACATATATTGAGCGAACCATCAACACGTTTCAGGTTCCTGTCTTAACATCTACTGCATTACAAATTAATGATAACAAGTGTTTGCCACTGATATGACAATGTCCCACGCCGCTAAAGAATGGAATATCTATATTTACTATTTTTATTTTTGGTCACACACACGATGCCTGAAATGACTGGTGTCTGCATAATCACCCAATGTAGGCTGTCAACATACTTGAAAACACTGGGTGCAATGTTTTATGAGATATCGTGCTTAATTAAGTTTGAAAAGTGGTCAAAGTGTCGTGGTGACTTTGAAAATAAGGTCAAGGTCACCCAAATCAACTGGTGTCTACGTAATCCCCCAACGTAGGGGACAAAAAGGAACATTTGGATCAAACTAACAATGGTGTGACAACCAATGCACAAAATTACTTCAAAAACCATTTTTATTATGTTTAAACCAAAATACATTACCTCCTTTTTCGGACATAAAGTAATGTTTCGTATCAATCATATTTCAGATAAACCTTGATCTACCAAGCAGTCAATGCAATGATCACAATTTTTCTGTGTTTTCTAAGAGCTTAATTAGAACATTGTCTCTGAACATAAATGTAAGAATGGCTGCATTTGTACATCCACGTACACTACACACACTAGTGTTACAGCAATGTTACAGCAGTGTCACTGAAATAGTGACAGGTGCCAAGAACAACATGATGTTATCAAAGATTTTGAGGGCTGACTGACTGACTGAATTTGGTTTTACACCGCTTTTAGCAATATTCCAGCTACATCAAGGCGGGGGAACACCAGAAATGGGCTTCACACATTGTACCCAAGTGGGGATTTGAACCCGGGTCTTCGGCGTGACGAGCCAACACTTTAACCACTAGGCTACCCCACCGCCCCCAGATTTTGAGGGAAAAAATTACTGTTCTATATCATGCTACATAAAAGATGTAAAACAAAAGCTAACCATATTAACAGCAGAGATGACAACATCAACAACACTTACCAAACCATGGCCTCATCGAAATATTTCATTGAGCTCTTAGCAATAAAGTTATACTTTTCAAGATCCAGTAGATGCAAATTAAGGCCTTTTGAAGGCCAAACTGGTTAGTTTCAAATTCTTTCACAAATTGTGCACAAGTATTTCCCTGATAAGTACCAACAATATTGTACTCCTCAGATGAATAATTACGAATGACTTTGCTGCATATTTCTATTTAAAACTTCGCTGGGAGACAAGTAAAAACCATGTTACCATGGCTACAGTGTAGAGGTGAGGTAGGAACATCATCATGTCCTTTTCATATTCCCAATATTAAAAGATAAACATTTAGGATGCCCAACTAATTATATGTTACCATGGCTACAGTGTAGAGGTGAGGTAGGAACATCATCATGTCCTTTTCATATTCCCAATATTAAAAGATAAACATTTAGGATGCCCAACTAATTATATGTTACCATGGCTACAGTGTAGAGGTGAGGTAGGAACATCATCATGTCCTTTTCATATTCCCAATATTAAAAGATAAACATTTAGGATGCCCAACTAATTCTATGTTACCATGGCTACAGTGTAGAGGTGAGGTAGGAACATCATCATGTCCTTTTCATATTCCCAATATTAAAAGATAAACATTTAGGATGCCCAACTAATTATATGTCCACGAGTACTCAAATTACAGAGAGAGACCACTGCAAGAATTTTGAAGAAAGGGTGTCATGAGGTGGTCAGTTGTTTGAACACCTGGGTTATATTCCAGAAAGTTACCTTGCATTCAGGTGCTTGTAATTCATTTACTTTGATCGAATCTTGCGATCATCATCATAGCCCTACGATCACTTTGTGGTACAGGCCCTGGCCCCGATCATACCAATTAAGAAAATGGTACTTTTTGTTACCCCGTCTGGTGTGCCGCAGTAAGCATGATATAGGGATAAATCGAGGACAGGTTGTTTCTCAATGTTGTAGCACTATTAACCCAGCAAACTTGCTTGTTGCAAAGGTCAACTGACAGAATTGGGTTGTCAGGCTTGCTGACTTTGTTGATACAAGTCATCGTATCCCAATTATGTAAACCAATGCTCAAGTTGTTGATCACTGAATTGTCTGGTTCAGACTTGATTATTTACAGACTGCCACTATATAGCTGTAATATTGCTGAGAGTGGCGTAAAACAACAAACAATAACCCAGCACAATGAAGCAATGGCTAGTAATCAGTAATGAAGTAATCAGACATTCAGTCTAATTACTGAAAACAGAGATGTCAAACTTTCAAATGCCTGACAAAGACATAGGACACAGTGACACACTGGTAAATGTTTAAACATACAATGTCACACTGCCTCAGGATAACCATGAAGCAACTTGATACAATGGTACTAGCCACAGCCGGACCTTCACAGCAAAATGGCCATAAAAGTTTTAATGCAACCAAGTGGCTAATTGATTTATATAAAGATCAGACTTTCCAAGACTCATAAAAGTATCAAATGTATGTTTGTAACAATGAAAAATGCAAGTACGCACCATGTGTGCAAATGCTTATCTATTATCTACTAAAAACTTAGGAAACCAAGGTACTGGAACTTGCACAGAATTGTTACCATGCACATGTTTAAAGAAGGCTTGAAGGCAGAAATGTATACTGTGCCTGATATACGTGTACCTGTATGCTTCACTCTCAGTCACTCCCATCTACAACAAGCCCAAGATTACACTTACAGCCAGAGAGTAATGAATGTTCTGTGTAGCCCAGTCAACACTCTACCTCAGTGACAGCAGGTAATTGCCCATAGATCAGACAAATGTGGGTTAGTACATGAAATATGTATAAGAACTTGTCACCCAATTACATACAAGTCACACCGTAACTACTATAACCAGTTACCAAGGTTACCATCCAATCTTCTATTTGGTTCTTTTCCGATAACTTGCTGTACCATGTTGTACCTGGCTATACATAGCACTGAAGCATGTAATCTACCAAGGTCATTGTGGGTAGCAGAGGGACGTGGGGTAGCCTAACTGTTAAAGCGTCCGCTCATCACGATGAAGACCCGGGTTCGATTCCCCACATGGGTACAATGTGTGAAGCCCATAGCTGGAATATGGCTAAAAGCGGCGTAAAACCATACTCACTCACTCACTCATTGCTGGTAGCAGGCCAGTATGCTGACACCAAGTGAGGGACAGATGTTATTCAACTTACTTTTCCTTGATTCATATCTACTACTTGATCTGAAAAGGTGTTCAAACAGCAAACCTGTAAACTATAACTTTGGCTAAAATGTAAGTAGCGTTTCCAGTCACCATTACTATCAACCCTTAACACGCCTCCCTTCAATAACCTATCTGCTGCATTGTAGCTAATATGCTTATACCACAAAAGATGAAAGTTGAATATTGTTTGCTGTTGTTGATCAACATACTGTCCAGCATGTAGGCTATGTATCACAGTACATCACTTGTGGTGTAGTGTTTCTACTCCAGCACGTGTCTTCAGTCACAAGACTGGGGACGCGGTGGGCGAGCTGGCCAAAGCGCCAGGCTAGAGATCCAGCGAAGTTGAAGGTGTCGGGATCGAGCCCACCTGTGACCGGGTGTAAAAAACCTTAGAGTCAACTTTGTGTGCAGACTCTTTCAGTGTTGTCACAACCCCTAGTGTACAGTACACAACCCTGTGCACTTAAAAGAACCCACGAATCCGTTGGTATATGACCAGATGGTGGCCACATGAATACGTGCAAACACCTAGTTGCGGGTACAGCAACGTGCAGTGAACTTGGACAAAGTACTGTGACTATGTGTCCCAGTCCACCCAGCTGTGAATTGGGTACCTCGTTAGGATGAGAAAGCCACAATAAACTTGGTGCGCCTAGTGGCAGCAAGAGTTGTATACTCCCCACGGAGTTGAGATTGACAATATGATGTGACGTTGAGATTGACATCCAGTGATCGAGGGAAACAAATACCAGCGCCTTGAGCAAGCACTAGTTGCGTGGATATGTGCGCTATATAAATATCACATCATAATAATAAAAATAAGACTGACCAGTGGTTTGCAGTAAATGCTACTTGCTCTATACTTGTGATCATGGTGATGTCCCAATGAATTCTGAGAAACTCTTTATTTTAATTCCAGAATCAAAGTTATTACCAAATCACTGTTATCACTGGCTAAACACATACTGTATCTATAATGAAACTGGGTATTCAGACTGCCGGTGTCTTGATCGTCAACCATCTGTACTATGTTAAACTTGTCACACAAAACAGCAAAGATTACAGGGAAGCAGCTGTAAAATCCTTCCTAGAAGTAGTGTCACTGACTCAGCTTGCTGAAACATGGTGGCACTGTAGTCTTTAATGTAGACAAAATTCCTGTTAGTGACAAACTGTTTTATCATTAAAATATGTTATTACAGGGTTTTACCTCGACTCACGAGTCCCGGGGACCCGCAATTATTAGTCCTTACGGACAATATGAGGATCCTGTGAAGTAACAGTGTAGAAAACTGTATGTTTTAATAATTTCTTTAGAGCCTGGAATGAATCATTGATC